AATGGGATTTAGATGTTTGAGCGTTTTGTAGAGCGTTCGTCGAGCGTTGAACACGCTACAAAACGTTCAGGTGTGAACCAGGCCTTAGGTTGCGTTGGACTTGCTGAATCTTTTATATCCCCGGATGCAGTACGTTTATTCGGGACATCAGCGGCTCCTTTGCTCTGTTACCCAGGACAGCATTGCTCTTCCTTTGTTATTTATTGATGTCTTTTTATTTGTACCTTTTTTATTTTTAGGTGTGGGTGCGTGCTCTCTAGCTGGGGGGTGTTTTTGCTTCTACTTGTGATGTTTTCAGCTTTGGATTGTTTAAAGAAGAACTCCAGGTTTTAGAACAAATAACCCTTACAGTGGAGCTAATCCCTCACTGCAAGGATTAACTGCTTGTTTCTCTCTAGGGGCTGGAATAAAGAAGAAATACTCACCTGATCGTTAATCCCAGCTGGCTGCTAGACTGGTCCCCTGCAGCCTTTTTCCTCTGGGCTCCAGTGGTCTAAGCCCTGCTCATGACATCACGTCTAATACAGTCCATTCATCTGTATTAGACGAGAGGACGTCGAGGGACATGCCACAGCCGGAGCAGAGTGGAGAGGTGAGCTGTCCCTGCCGCAGGACCGAGGATCAGGTGAGTATTTCTTCTTTATTTTCACCACTAGAATAAAATGAGCAGTTAACCCTTGAAGTGCAGTGGTGGCCCCCACTGCAAGGGGTAAATATTCTAAAACCTGGAGTTCTTCTTTAACACTCCTTAGGTCCCTTAAAGACTTTCCCTCCCTTTGCACCAACTTTTCCAACTATTTCTCTATGGAAATTGGAAGCATCCTGTTAAGGGGTATGTTTGCCCCAATCACTTTTTACCCTTGTACTTCTTTGTGTGGATTCTGTTTAGGAGTTGTCCATTCCCACTGTGAATCCGGCCGTGTCCTGTCTTATCAAGGCATTTACAGTTCTGCTAGAGGACGTGCCTATCTTTAAAGACCCAACCGAGATTTGTCCCCCCATATCCGACTGGTAAAAATCCTTTAGAAGACATCTAACTACTGTTGTGGTTGTTTCTTTCCCTATTTACTGCATGGAGAAGATGGCTATAGCTTCTAATTTCAGTTGTTGTATGTCTCATGCCAGTACATATATGCACTTTGACTTAAAAGAGAGCTATAGGGTCATGGGAGGACATATACTAACCTCCTCCCGTGACCCAAAGCTCAGTATATACTGAGAGCTCCGCAGTCCGGACAGATCCCGACAATACTGCCTGGATCCACCCAGTTGTGTGAGTGACAGCTGGTTCTACCTATCTAGAGGCAGAGCCAGTTGTGCCCGCCCCCTCCTCCATTCGTTCCGCCACGGAGGATCGGAGAGGGGAGGGGGGAATCCTTACAGGGAGCAGTGACTGACGCTCACCGCTCACTGCAGGGAGACAATCGGGAAGTGAGCGGATTGCCTGCATGTTTCTGCTCACTTCCCGATCAATAGAGCCGACCTGTGACAGCTTCTTTGTCACAGGTCGGCTAGAACTATGAGGTGAGTGGAAATCACTCACCTCATAGTTCTCCTTTAAGTGCTGGACTACAGAACCCTTTTGCAAAAAGCGTTTGGTGCGCATAGTCTGTAAGGGACAACTTTTTTTCGGTCTGCCCCTTGATAAAATCATCAAGGTTCCTTCAAAGCTGCTGCAAGAGCACCCATTTTTGGTCCTGGGAAGAGGGCTGGGGGTATAGTCCTTCCCTCAGAGATCTTATAGGACCTGTGGAGGACCCTGGATGTGGACATCCTGACTAGGGATGCACCGAAATTTTGGCCGCTGAAACATATCGGGCGAAAATGGCCCTTTTGGCCGAAATTGCGGTGCATGCCTGGTTTCTCTCCTCCCTGTTGGGCACTGCTCTGTGTCCCCTCTGACACAGCGCAGCGTCCAGCGGGGGAGGAAGATAAATGTTCTAGAGGCCAATCGGTGCGAGGGAGGAGAGCGCTGTGGGCAGTCTGTGTCATAGGAGACGGAGCTCTCCTCCCGCACCGCCCCACGCAACCTCCTATGACAAATCGGGTTGGAGAACAGGTGGAGTCAGCTGTCACAGGAAACTGAGCCGACAGGTTGGGGGATGGGTCAGCTGTCATAATAGACTGAGGTCTCCTCCCCACACCGCTGGCTCAGCCTCCTGTGACGGCTGATTCAGGATGGAGAGCGGGTATACAAACACTCAGCGGTCAGTGATCGCTGAATGTTTGTAAATAATTGGACATAGTATGAGTTAGATGTACCAGTTATGAATGAAAAGGAAGTGATCAACATCATTTCCTGTTCATTCATAATTGTGTACTTAGTAACTCATGATATATCCACAAGTTATGAATGAACAGGAACACTCAGTATAGAGGATTCCTGTTCATTTATAACAAGGTCTGCATAAAAAGAAATTGAGGACTCTGTGTTCTCAATCGCTTGTTCCATTTTAAAAGGGAAATATCAAGGGTCTTTTTACACCCCTAATATTTGACTGAAGCCCCCCCAACAGTAAAGTTAAAAAATAAAAATATTGAATAAAAATAAAATATTAAAAAGTTTGTTAAAAAATAAAAATAAAATATTTAAAGAAAGTTAAAAAGGATAGAAAAAAAATGAGTTTCGCTTTCGGCCTGACATTTTTTTTATTTTCGGTTTCAACATTTTATTCGGTGACCTCCAGGTTCAACAACAGACTGGACAGGTTTGTGTTCAGGTACAGGGATCCTCTAGTGCAGCAGTTCTCAACCTGGGGGTCGAATGACAATTTGCCAGGGGTCGCCGGGAGTCTCCCACTATTAAATAGCTATTAGATTATCATCATTATTATTATTAATAATAAAAGCTGACACCCTCGGCTTGTGTTATATGGTTTGCCATTTTAGCTGTTACAGCAGTGGTTCTCAACCTGTGGGTCGCTGTGTGATTTCTGCTGTGCTCGGTGAGAGTCCTCCTCAGCCCTCTCCTAGCGCAGCAGTGTCAGCTCTCACACCACGCCGCCAGATGCCGCAGCAGCAGCCGCCGCGTCAACCCTAAATTTTACCGTTGGGGGTCACCACAACTTGGCAAATGTTTCCAAGGGGTCCCGACCCTAGAAAGGTTGAGAACCACTGCTCTAGTGGAAGCAGAGGATTTTATGGTGGCTCCATTGGAGGGCATTTTGGTGATCATCAGTCAGTGATTTCTGCAGCTCTTAAAGCTGGGAAGTCTTTCCGCAAGGTCTGTCATCGGGCATACTTTGTGTAAGTCTCAGGGCTTCCACCCCAGAAGTTTTCTGCAGCAGGCTCTGGAACAACATTCGGCTTTCAGCACTATCTACAATTCTGCTCTTTCTATCCTTTTTCAGAGTGAGTGAGGTAGCCTCTCACTACCTGATCAAGATATCTGTACAGGGGTCTTCCATGTACAAAGGTTTGTATATCTTGCCCATCCGTTTCCCAAGGACTCCATGGGACCTGAAGCTGATTCTCTCTGCGCAGTTTGAACCCATTAGAGACATTCCTCTCTCTGCTTTCACCCACAACATGTGTTGAGGCCCAGGACTTTCTTCCTGCCTAAGGTAGTTTCTGCCTCTCACCTCACCCAGGACATCCCATCCTTCTGTCAAGCTCCTGTTCACCAAAAGAACATTTCCCTCCAATCTTTGCATGTAGTTTGGGTCTGTCTGTCTCTAGGCCACTGTTTCTTTCAGCAAGACTCGTTTCCTTTTTGCCATCTTGGATGAATCCCAAATTGGGGCTCTGGCTTCTGGGTGGCTTAGGCAGACCATCCTTCAAGCTTTGGTCTCAAGGTTCAGGTTCCACCCTTTCTTGTGAAGACACAGTGTACTAAGTAAGTGAGGGCTTCTTGGGTTTTTCCGCATCAAGCATCTCTTTGTCACATTTGCAAAGCTGTTGCATGGTCTTCTATTCACACCTACTCTAAGTACTACCAGATGGATGTTTCTCTTTCATCACATGTTTTTTGAGCTGCAGGCAGTTCCAAGAGTGCTGTTGTTTCTCTTGGGCCTGTTAGCGATTGTCTGCTGCGTTGCCCACCCCCTCATTTTCGACTTCTTTTGGATGTCCCGAAGGTTAAAGAAAAAAAATAGGATTTATGTACTCTCAGTAAAAGCCTTTTCATGGAGAGCATTGAGGATCTCAGGTTCCACCTCTTTGTATTTATGATCATGCTTGGTACTGCTTTGTTACAAGACTGAGGCATGCTGGTAGCAGGGGGGTTATCCTGGACTGTTAGGCAATGTTCAGTCACCCTGTAGGTGGTATAACCCAAAGTTTAAATACTTCTGTGTTCCTCAATGAACTGCTAGAAAAGTGATTTTACAGTGATTAGAAAAATCTTAAGACAATATTGTCAAAAGAAAGGCTATGGACAAAAAAACTTGTATAACTGTATGATTTCCTTTATCTGATTAATACCAAAGAATCACAGAATCATTAGGTGTGTTACTTAAGTATAACATTTGCTCTGGTCCATAAGGGGAATATGGGTGAAAGCTGAAGTTGTATAAGTCGATTATGACACAGAGTTTTCACAGTTGCTATGTAGGGATGAGGGGCCATTCACATCACATCCAGATCATCTCCAGGCCAGACCAGATTGTTTGCGGACCTAAAATGCATCCTAATGTATCCCTATGCTATTTCTGGCCTTTGTCCAGCGCAGTTCATTCCAGACCAGACCAGAAAAATATTGCTTGTTCTATTTTGTCTGGTCTGGAATGCACTGGAACTGCTGGCAGGTTCATACAATTTTCCGGACCAGATCTGGTCTGGAAAATGGTGTGAACCTGCCCTGAGAGAGGGATCCGTAAAGAGATTACAACAACCCTTCTGCTCAGGAACTATTAGATGACATTCTTTTATTATAAGCCACATGTAAGGAGTGTAACAAGAGGTAAAGGAGAAGCTGATTGGAAATCTATCCCTAGGAAGGGAAATTCACATAAGGCCGTTAATATGATCAGTCCTGAGATTTGTAAATTTGTTACACATAGGCCAGCGATGGAGCGCCAGATACAAACACGATAAGGACTGGTTCAACAATGGACGCATGTGCGGTCTGTCATTCATTAACGAAAACTACTCCTATGTCAACACCAAGAAGATTGTGTCCACCCACCACCTCCTAGCCGATGTTTATGGCGTGACGGAGATACTGCACGGTCTGCAGCTGAAATTCGGCATTCTGAAGTAAGTAGAGGGCAGTAAATATTGATTTCCCATGAATAGGGCCTAAGGGACCGATGCTGCTACTGCAATGTTTTTACAAATATACATAAATGTGAGTATCTTAGATCAGTGGCGGGCAACCTTGGCACCCCAGCTGTTTTGGAACTTCAAGTCCCATGAGGCACTCTCCCAGTGGCCTCTGCCTAATGGGATTTGTAGTTTTACCACGGCTGCAGTGCCAAGGTTGCCTACCCCTGTCTTAGAGAATTTTTAAACCGAAGAATACAAATATATATTGCAGCTTACCAGTACAGACAGTCCCCGGGTTATGAACAAGATAGGGACTGTAGGTTTGTTCTTCAGTTGAATTTGTATGCAAGTTGGAACAGGTAAATTTTTTAAGTGCAACTCTAGCCCAAAAACATTTTTTGTTTGTTTTGGATAGCATAGGGAAAGGTTAACTGCCTGTAATGTTTGTTTTGCTGTGTTTGCCCCTGTTCTTCAGAAGATTTCACCTCACTTTCTGTCCCTGTGACAATTTGATTTTGAAAACTTTGGGTTGTCGTGGGAACAAGGATTGGTGATAAAGCTTCAGTGGAGACACCTTTTCCCCATGATAACTCTTACAGGAGTGAATTTCTTGTTGTCTCGAGCACAGGAAGTGAGATTAAATCTTTCTAATGAGGATACAGATAGCAGTAAAAACCTCACAGTGACCAGGAAGAAGAGGCGGGCACCCCTGGTCTGCATGTCTAACAAGAGCCAACTTCCTGTAATGTATGTACAGCACTACGAACCAGACCCAAAAAGGCAGGCACTGCACGTCGGCACGAGTGCATTAGCATTACAACTACCCCTGCTGTACAGTAATAGCCTCCGTTTGTAAGTAGGAGTCGAATAAATGTAACTCGGGGACTGCCTGTATTGTAGAAAAATCCAACCCAATGTCTTGTGTGTTGAAAATATAATCTGTTTTTTTTTTTTTGTTTTTTTTTTTACCGTATATTCATGATAATTTATTAGCAAAGAGGAAAGTGCTAAATTGTTTACATTTCAGGATACATTTATTCCATTTTGATCTTCTATGCAAAGAAGCTATATAACTTTTGACATGCCTTTCATTATTACCAGCCAGATCCAGTCACTTACCCCTTTGGCCCTTCAATCTTCTGTCAATTTCCAGAAGACACTTTTATCTCTTACCCATAACAAGCTGGCTGGGTACAGGACACCCTAGCGTTTCCTACGACTAATTCTATAAACAGTTGGCACTTCTCACACATTTAATTAGAGAAGCTGAGAGGAGTAAGATCATAACCGCTGCTAGGCCTATAGCCTGACTAAAACCATTTCCTGAAATATGTATAATCCGCGCTTTATAGATCGGTATGGATATTTCAATTGAATATCAAGAATAAATGAATGATCCAACACTGATTTTATTTATTGATAATCCTGAGCGCTGCACATCCAGTTATATTATAAAACCATTTCCTGACACCAAACCTTAGAGATGGTGAATGGATTAGTTTTCTTTTTGCGGGCTTTTTACCCTTTATTTTTCTTTGTGATCCTGACAGTAACACACTTCCTGTCCTAAGCTAACAAAGCTCACTCAGTGTACTGTATCTATTTCATAAGAGTTACCTGTGCTGCATAGTCATTTGTAGTTGCCCTGTGATTGTCTCAGTACATCTATACACCTTGTTCTCTTTATTATTATATAGGGACAAAGATCATCCTGACCTTCACCTCTGGGCCTGTCCAATTAAGCCGCGAGAATCGGGTCAAGTAAACGACAAGTGGTCAGCGCCTTCCTCAAATGACCGGGGAACATGTAGACAGAACAATAAAGGTCCCACAAACAGTCCGAACAGGACGGAAGATACGTATATAACTAATGAGCACAGCTATCAAAAGCCCCAGAGTTCCGACCAAGGAGGCAAACCCTCAGATGACACTGGAAAGTCTTTCGATGACAGTGGCGTGATTCTGGAAGGCCAAAACGCAAATCTTCAGATGGATAATAAGAAAAGTTTACAGAATGTTTCTGTTAGAAGAACTGATGAGGTGAGTGGTAATACACCTTTCTAGAAAGGCGATACAGGATGCATTGATCCAATCACAAAATGTTCTACTGCATGGCTTAAATATATTAATAGTACTTCACTGTGCAATGGTTTAGTTTTTTACATTTGTATTTCCATTGGTACCTGGATTCAGTGTAATTAAAGTAATTATTATCTTTTATGATCCTTTTTTTTCCAAAGTTTGTGGCCATAAAACCCCCTCCCTTAGCTAACATTTATAGTAATGTCTATTGTTATGTTTCAGGTTGTAATGGCAGAGGTGAGCAGTGATAGGAAATCAGAAGAGCAGCTGGATTCTCATCTTCAGTGGCAGCTCAATCTCCTGACACACATAGAGAGTGTGCAGAATGAGGTCACCAGCCGTATGGACCTCATAGAGAAGGAAGTAGATGGTATGTTCAAGTTCTCAGTATTCCTGCCACCATCAGTAATGTTTTCATGTGTTTGAGAGGAAAAGAGATGATGAGATATAAAAAGTAATAATGATTCCTTTCTTTTTCTCTCATTTTCCGCTATGTTTTGTCCTTCCTTCTCTCACTTCCTTTCCTTCTTTCTCCCCTTTCCTTCCTCTCCCTTTTTCTTTCCTTCCCTACTTTCTTCTATTCCTTCTCCCTGTCGCCTGCCCTCCATTTTTCTAACCTTTCCTTTCTACCTATTTCCTCTTTCACCTTCCTTTTTCCTTGCTTTCTATTTCCCTTTCTCTCTGTCTCCCTTTTCTCCATCTTCCTTTCTTGTCTACATCACTCTTTTATCTCTCTTTCTTTCTTTCTCGATTTATTTTTCTTTCTTTCTTCCCTCTTTCTTTTTCCCCTCTTTCTTTCCTTTCCCTCTTTCTTTTCCTCCTCCGTCTCCTTCCTTCATTTCCTTTCTTTCTTTCTCTTTCTTTTTCTTTCCTTACCTTTTTCTTTTTCCCTTCCCTTTTCTTTTTCTTTCTTCTCTTTCTTGTTCGTTCTTCTCTTTCTTGTTCTTTTTTCCCTCTCTTGCTCTCCCTCCCTCCCATTCCTTCCTTCATTGCTCTCTCTCTCTCGCTCTTTCTTCCTATCTTTCTTCCCTTTCTTTCCTTCCCCCATTCTCTCTCTCTCTACCTCCCTCTCTTTTTCTCTCCTTCCTTCTCTCTCACCTTCCTCTTTCTCTCTCCCCCTCCCTCTTTCTTTCTCTCTCTACTTCTCTTTCCCTCATGGCCTCCCTTCCTCCCTCTCTCTCACAGTTCTAGAGAGCTGGCTGGATTTCACTGGAGAGCTGGAGCCCCCTGATCCCCTAGCACGACTACCCCAGCTAAAAAGACGAATCAAGCAGCTCCTGACAGACATGGGCAAAGTTCAACAAATCGCTACCCTCTGCTCTGTATGACGAAAAAGAAGAGAAATCGGCTGAACTATTTTCTTACTTAGATTTCAAAAAAACAAAAAAAAGTTTGTACAGGTTTTATTGACTATATAAATATATTAATTGTATCAATCCTTTACAAGGATTATAAATGAGACCTTTAAACCAGTCAAGACATGCCTGAACCCATGGTAAGCAAAACCAAACAATTTCCTACAGTGGCCTATCCTGCTCCTGGGATACTGGTACATGCGAATGACATATATTACACCCCCCCAGGAGCGCAGTGGTGGTGTGCTGTCATCATTCAATGACTCGTAAAGTTACCAGCTTGTCTTGGAAAATGTATTATCCTCCTGCTAAAGCAGTATTGCAGCAAATTCTACCTTTTATTTTCCAAAATCATTTTCTTTACCTTGTTAAATATTATTATTAAGCTATGTCTGGCACAAAGTAGTTTGGCTTGGAGCTCTAAGACCCAAGCTATTTATACAGCAAACCTTAAAGGGAAACTATAGTGTATTTTCAGTTAATTTAAAACTACTCTGTCTTTAAAAAGAAGACTGCACAGTAAAGAGCTCCCTGCAAAGACAACATTAGAGGGTATGTAAACCCAAAAACAAAGCTTTGATATATTGCAGCTTAGCAGTCCTTAGATGTGGTGGCTGCATTCGGTTTTTTTTCTGTCTGTTATTTCCTTTATTTTCACATGGTGATCCTGCCACCAACACACTTCCTGTTACTTGTATCTACACTGATTTCTACATTGTACAGTGGTACCTCGGTTCACAAACTTAATTAGTTCCGCGATTCTGGTCGCGAGCCGATTTGGTCGTTAACCTGAATCAAACTGCGATCTCGACTAGAGGAAGCCACGACCATGTGTCAGAGCAGGAAAAATGGCTGCGGTTGTGTTCGTCACCCAATTGCTGAGTTCGCGAACGGAGGCAAAATTTTGCTGAACTTCCTGTTCGCGAACTGAATTGTTCGCTAACAGAAGCGTTCGTGAACAGAGGTTACCACTGTATCTATGGAGTGAGCCAAGTTTGCCACACTGGCTGGACTTCAAACATGTCTGCCTGTTGTTTGTCACCATTACATTGTGGAACGACTATTAGTTTATGCAAGAAAGATCAGGATATTAGTGCTGTCAGTGCATCACACAGGAAGTGACATGGACATTCCATTTCTGACAAGATCAGCAGGTATTTCTTCAAATGAAAACTAGACCCGATGAAGCTTAGCATGAAGTGATCACAATGGATGTCGCCAAATATACAGGATAGAGTGTCACCAGCACTCGAAGGATGCGTTTCCACAATTTATTGCAAGCACATACTGGCTGATGAATAAACCTTCCACCCAGCTGGGTGAATGCTGTCCAAGCAACAATATCGCTACTAGATGGTGCAGAGGAGCATAGGAATGCCTAGTGGCGGTAATGTCGTGTGAGAACTGCATTCGCCCAGCTTTATGCTGGGGCAGAAGGTTGGTACATCAGCCCCGTTATGTAACATAGGTCAATATTCCAACGTTTCAGGGCCTTAGAGGGGGTCGCTTTTCTCTGGGCGGGTCAATGACATCCTCAGTGGCCCTGAAACATTGGCAAATTGATCGATGTGACTTTTTGGACCAGAGAAACGATTGTAGGTGTGTCAAGTATTTGGTGCAAGGAAATCAGCTTTTTTGAGCAAAATAATAGTTCAATTAGAAGGGTTTCAAATGAAAGATGTGACTACTGCACCAGTTGTGAAAAAAAACCCAAGTGTGACTTTTTACACCGAACATTCTCAAATAATAATGATTCAGAAAATGAGTCTGTCCTTATTGGCACGATAGAGGTGTGCAGTAATGCCCCACAAGGATGATGGTGCTAGACAGTTACACATTCTGCTACAGAGGTAGGCAACCTCCTTCACTCCAGCTGTTGTGGAACTACAGGTCCCATGATGCATTGCATTGATCTGTGTCCTATATATTTAAAAGCTATTGCAGCGACCACGTCTAAGGACTGCTAAGATGCAATATACTGGGGGGAATTTATCAAAACTGGAGCAGACAAAATCTGGAGCAGTTCTGCATGGCAACCAATCAGCTTCTCTCTTTCATTTTTAAATCTTAACTGAACAAACTGAAAAGAGAAGCTGATTGGTTGCCATGCACAGCTGATCCAGTTTTTTGTCTGCTCCAATTTTGATAAATTTCCTCCTTTTGTGTTTTTTTTTTTTAAGGTTTGAATACTCTTTAAATACTCCTCCTGCGCTCCGTTCACTGCAGTAGTGAGGAAGAAAAACCGGCTGAAGGTTCTGCAGAATCTAAAACTTCCAGGATTGCCAACTTCCTGTTTGCTGTGGTTGCTCCCACTGTAATAATGTAGGAGCCGTTAGATGGAACCACTGAGCGCACACGGGGGGGTGAAAATCGACTTTCCTGTAATTGTCAGATTCTCCAGAATCTTCTGCTCGTGGTTTTATTTCACTAGCGCAGAGATTGGAGCGCGGGCAGCAAGAGAAGCGAATATTTAATGCATCTCTCACGGAGAACTTTATTGTACAGTTTTATTTGGGCGACAGAGTAATATAAAGAAAAATTACTTTTAAAGTAATATTTTTATGCAATTTTAAGCAACTTTAGAAAATGAAAGTAAATTTCTATACACGCTTGCTGTATTACATATACAGATTTTAGGATTCTCCCGATCTGTGTCTCATTGTTGTCACTCAGCATCCCTGATTAGTTGCTAAGATAAAAGAGTGCAGTAAGGAACAGCACGCAGCAGGGAGTAGAGCCTGCACATGTAATGAACAAGTATGGCTGCCTCTATGTGCGTTATAATTATCAGCTATACAGACAAAGTCTGTAACGCATGCCGATACGATTATTTAATGATGAGATCATTTTCACTCATCAGTCTTAAAAAAAATAAAATAATTACACTATAGTTTCCCTTTAATGGTCCGATTGCTATTGTTCCTGTTGGTAGATATTGTCTGTCTGACAAACCATATTCATGGTGCCACATTTAAATACCCGGTTCATTGTTGTAATTGGGTTATCTTATTCACTCCACTCTAATGTTTTTATTACGGGTGGTGAGCCGAATTGCCCTCTACGTTCTTCCAGTTCTCGGGGATGCCATTGGTGAGGTCTCTGGGCAGTGTGAATTCTCCACAGTAGATGTTTCTTGTTCCTTCTCCTTGATGTGGGCATCATCTAAAATGTTCTTACAGTGTCTTCAGACTCTCTAAGCTTAAAGTGAATATGTCACTTTGCTTATTCAGGGTGAAGTGACAGGTTTTCTTGAGAGGCCACCTCTCCGCACCTATTGATACTTACCTTCCTTGCTCTGCCCCTGTAATACGCTCGCCTGCCGGAGGGTTGAGTCTGCTACCTGTGTAGGCTCCAGGTCTGATCTTACACAGGGTTAAAGGGTAAGTTCACTTTCTCAAGAAATTTGAGAAAATTAAGTTACCCGCTCATATCTGGCCCCCTCTCCCCCACTATACTTACCTTTCGACGAACGCTCCTTCCGCTCCGCGGGTATGGGTGTACTGTCCGTACCCCGTACTGCTGTCCAGGGCAGCCCTCCGCTATGGATTGCAGATTGCCAGCACTCATTGGTCAGCGAGGTCACCTGACTGAGCTGTCCAATGACGAGCACTTCTTGAATGCTTGCAATTTGCGAAATTCTAAATCCATAGGGCTGGGCTGCGTTCATTTACTTAGGAAAGTGAACTTACCCTTTAATGACTTGTTCCTACCCTGATTGGCCAGTCAGGCAGGGCCTCCTGGGAGGAAGTGGAGGCAGTCTCATGCTCCCCATATCTGGAAGTATCAGGTATTTCCAAGGGCTTTGACAGATAAACAGAGCAGCAGGGAGGCAGTGTCAGAGGGAAAGGGAAGTTTAATAAAGAGAACCTGTCACTTTGCTCCGAATGGCTCAGTTTGAGTAAACTTTTCCTAGAAGAAACGTGGCAAGCTTCAGTGATGACAAGCTAGCGCCCTGGCTATTATGTTCTTATCCTGACCCTCTGCCTTAATATTTCCAGTCGCTGACCAAGAACAACTTTGCATATCAGGAAAGTCATACTTATTCCGGTTTAGTGGCCCAAAGTATGAAAGCCAGAGGATGAGCATGACAGACAGGCAAGTAGCATGTGCAGAGTGAGAAGTCACCAATGGATGCCTCCATGTTTCCTTTTAGGAAAGGTTTAGCTCCAGATTCCTGACAAATGTGATATTGTAAAGCAAGGCAGTAAAACAAATGTCACAAGTTGTGTTTATTACCCATTGGGTTCCCTTTTTAGGGACATCTCCACCCAAAAGCATTATTTCAATATGGTGGACATTCTGGCTTTTCGGTAATGAGTACAATTTGTCAAATGAATTATTTTGCTATCCTGCCTTGCTATGTTCATTTTTTTCCAAATGATGACACCATGTCCCCCATGTTAAAATGTTGAAGGAGTGTAAATATTTGACTGTTATTGAAGGTTGTTTATACGTATCTTGGCTTTCATGTAAAGCCCAACTCCAGGCAAAGCGTACAGTGCGGAAGGGATGCAACGTCTATCTGGGTTTTATTACTGTTCATTGAAAGATTGTCTCACTTTCTCTCCTGGTGAGGCAGGGTGTCACAGGTACAGGAAGTGACGGGAAATTAGGAATGCACCTATACCGGTTTTTCGGTATCGGGTACGAGTACCAATATTTTTTCCGGTACTCGCCTATACCGAATACCCATCCCGGCTTATCCGGAAGCCTATTGAAAGAACACCAGCTTTACGTCCCGAGGCAGCCTCGCTTCCTGACCAATCAGGAAACCCAGTGGCACGTCATGACCCACCTCCCGGCTTCCTGATTCGCTAGGAAGCCTGGCTTCCTGACCAATCAGGAAACTGGGCGGCGGGTCATGACGTGCCCCCTGGCTTCCTAGTAACGAGTGAAGCCGTCTTCCTAGCCAATCGGGAAGCCTGGAAGTTGGTCATGACGTGCAGCCTGGCTTCCTGATTAGTCACCAGTATTGGTATCGGTGCATCCCTACAGGAAATCTTTTAGATGGGGGACAGAGGAAGCAATAAAAGAAGACTAGGGAAGGGATGAAGTCCTCAATTTGTATTGCTGTGTCTGTCCACCTGTATGGTGACACTGACTCCCATTATACCGACTTATCGGTAGTTGAAGGAAGTCAATTCATATGGGATCCTGTGGCTCTGATGAGGCCACTCTTAACAAAAACAGGGAACCCT